CATTTTGGTCATTTGTGACCTTTGGTGCTCCTGGCCCTCTGTTTCATGAGGGAACTTCATTAATGAGAATTGAGAGATTTATTAGTATATTCTTTACCCCTGTTCTATGTTCTGTGCACCTTTGTTGTAGAGGTTGCATTGTAGATGTGTCACTTAGGCCTGGGCAATTCATAGACAATGTCTGTTTGTGACAAGCTGTGGTACTTGGTAATAGTCTCCAACTGGTGCAAAATAAGCTTCATTGATGAGTGGTGACTGGGATATTTGCCTGTAAATATAAGGAGTGTGGTACTGTAAACATAACCAAATACACATGACTCGAGTGGTCATAGATCAGCAGTCTTTCATGACTGTAGAACACACTTTGATAGTATGAAATTGGATGTGGTATGTGTATTTTTTATAGCATGAGAACTGGCACATGCCACAAATCAGACCTTTCTCTTCATATGCTGATACCTCAAACTGCCAACCCACTGGGGTCAATGTTAAGTATTTACTAGCACATCACTGCTCTCTAACCCACTGACTGGCTCAAAATGGAAGACCCACATGCTGATACTTTTTCTAGCTTCTATATACATATTGACATGCCGCGTGGCCTCTCTAATCTAGAAGCTTCTAAATCCAGCCCTTGTGAACTTACCTTTTCCCATATTTGTTCACATCAGAGTATGGAAATGTGCTCTGTCAAACACAGTCTCTGCAGGAAGAATACACAGCTCTCTGTTCTGCAATATGGTTTCAGAGTACAAGTACCTCTCCATCTATAAGTAGATTATACATTCACTAACCCTTTAAATCTCATTATATTGTTATTAAATGCATGCTCTTCTTTGACATTTTAAATACAGAAACATGCTATCTGATTGATAGTTTCCTTTGACAATGTAAGTAGCCATTTCAAGAAGGAAAAATTAGTGTGGAAAAATGTGCACACATACACGCATACACACACATACAATTTGCTTTTTGTTGTTGTTGTTGTTAACTTCACAGTATGAGTAGGGATATAAAAGAAACCCAGCTTGAGCCTCAGGCATATCTCTAAGATTTATCTCTGTGTATACAGATTTGATGAACTAGTGGAATGACCTTCCAGAAGTCTCTTTATAAGAAAACCTAAGGACCCTTCTGGTTCTCAAGGAATAAGAACTAGGTATTTGAGAATGGAAATGGCTCAGCAGCTAAGACCACTTACTGCTTTTCCAGAAGACCTAAGTTCAGTTCTCAGCATCCATGTGGCAACTAACAACCAGTTGTAACTTTAGTTACAGAAGGTCGGCTGCCCTCTTCTGACCTCAGTGAGCATTGCAGGTATATGGCATACTACATACATACAGGCAATACACTCATACACAAAATATAAAAATAAATAAAATTTTTTTAAAAAGAACTAGGTACTCTGGGCATTCCCAGTAACAAGCCTATGCTACTTAAGTGAAAGGCAATCTTGAGATGAATTCAAACCGTTAAGGTAGAGTCCCCTTATTTTCTAGAAATTAGATAGAATGCTCTTGTCTGCCCATCCCAAAGGTGTCTTATGTCTTTCTCAAGACCTCTGGAAAATTTTAGGAAATTTATATTTTGTGATTTGACCCCAGATTTTGTGATACTGCGCTCATCAACTTACTATGGGGCAATTGTGCACCATGCATTTACTTGCTCCTAGCCTTCATTATACCAATCCCATAATCAGGTCCACTATGTCTCTGTAATTCTACATCCCAAGAGAAGAATTGGGAGCAACAAAAACAATATAAACTGAGAGCTTTCTGTGTATAAGACTTTACTGGGGAAATGCCGGAATTTATAGAAGAAACTTCTGTGATCTAAGCGTTTGTGTCCCTGAAGTTTATACGATGAAAACCTGAGAACTGACTGGTGATGTTGGGAGGTGAAGCCTTTTGAAGGTAGCTAGGTCATGAGGGTAAGATCTTCCAGGTAAGATTAATTTCTTGATATAAGAGACACAGAGCACTTTCTGCTCTTTCTATAAGGGGACTCAGCTGGGTGACTTAGCCTATTAATCAGAAAGTATGCTTTCAGAAGACTCTGATTCCACTAATTCCTTACACTTGACCTCCAGAACCATGAGAAATAAATTTCTCTTATTTATAAGCTTCCCAGTCTGTGACTGGGAACAGACTCATACATAAACTAAAACAAGTCAAAATTCCTAAAATTTTAGGCATTTCCAAGGTACGACCAAAGTAGGCTTTCCATTAATTTCATTCTCATTCTCTCTCTCTCTCTCTCTCTCTCTCTCTCTCTCTCTTTTTGACACAGGGTCTGTCTCTTTCTCCCTTTCTCCCTTCTTTCCTCTCTCCCTCTCCCACCTCTCTCTCACACACATCCATAAATACATAACCCAAAGAGAACATGCATCCCTTCCTTTGTGTCAAACCATCCAGTCTTGGCATAGACCACACTGCAGAGCTCCCAGAGTAGGGGCAGCTGACAAGAGCATCTCGAGCAGCTTCAAGGGTGGTGGTGACCTGCAGCACCACATTGCCTAGTAGAGGAAGCCTGGAGCTAAAGGGGAGGAAAGAGCAGTTGCTTCAAGCCCCAGTGCAAAAGCTAGTATGTAGGCATATCTAGAGTACCTTGGGGTTCCAGAGAATTCTTAGAAGATTGGTAGAGAACTTCTGTCCTTTATTATTAAGACTAGGGAAAGAGACAAGTTGTAGAGTATAAGTAGAATATAAACTAGATAAAATTATGCAATTATTTTCAACTTTTAATAGTTAAAGTGTTCTAAGTAGTATTCAAATAGCTAAAAGAAATACTGTTCCCTCAACAACTTGCATTCATTCAAGTTAGGTGTTCTTACCAGAAGATTTCAGAATTTATGAGTAAGGTCTTAAGATGATATTCTGTCTGCTGTGTGAATTTTGAAGAAATGTCAAAAGTGAAAAGTAAAATATTCTGCTTATAAAACTTTACAGATGTTATGAGTAGAGCTAAAAAATAAGAATCATAAAGTATTTGCATATTTCATTAGGAAATATGTTTTTTAAAACTACCTAAGAACTGAAGAACAATGATGTTCCAGAAATACACTCTGTGTGAGTGAGCCAGGATGAAGGGAGGGCAGAGGTGGTACCCAACATCTCCTTCAAGGATCTGTTTTGACAGTGCCTAAAATCCATACCTCATAAAACATTGCTTCATCAATCATCCCTGAGCTACCAAAGCAGAGGTTTTAAATAGGCATCCTAATCTGGAGTAAGGACTCTGTGGCCTTTTGTTCTCTGCACATTGGCCAATTGTGGGTTTCTCTGTGAATCACCATCTGCTGCATAAGAAAACTTCTCTGGAGAGAGTTGAGAGATGCATTCATCCTATACATACAGGTTGCATTAAAGATGTGTCACTTAGGGTTAAGTGTCTCACTGATGTAAGCATCCTCTTAGTTATATGAGTTCTGGACCTCTGTAATGTAATAGACTCCCACACTGACAGACATTTGGAGACACAAGTCAGACTCTATAGGCAATATTGCGTATCTATCTATCATCTATCTATCATCTATCTATGAAAGTATATTAAATCGGGTGAGGGCAGTGGAATGAGGTGTGGATAGGGGAGTGGCTCTAAGTACCTTCAAACTATATGGTATGAAAATTGCAAAAATTCAACAAAAAAATTTAAAAAATTGCTTCATAACGTTGTTTTTATATTAGTTATAATTTTGTTTCCCAGGGAGGAA